GTATTCAAAATGGTTAGGATAGATATATAGTTACATTCTCTTAATGAATAGAGTGATTTGTTCTAATGGTGTTTTTAAATAGGATATCATGTCCGCATCTTGTACAGCAATTAACCACTAGGAAGAATGTATGCAATGTGTTGATTATTGAAACTGTCCTACCAATTTGGTTTGAAACTGTCTCATCGTTATTTGTTTATCAATAAAATTATGGGAAAAAGGACTTAAAATCTACAGACTTCAAGAATTCACAAAGTAAGCTGAATCTGTGCAAGAAAAGACACAGTCTGAGATCAGCACGTCTGGAGACAGTCTACAGAACGGGAGGAGAGAACGACTGACCTGATTTTCAAATGCGTGAAAACACTTGACCAGTCACTTCTCCCAAGAGACTATACAGCAAATGGAAAGATGCTCACCATCATTCACCATTAGGAAAATGCAAAACCAGATAATGAGATCCCCTCTCACACCCATTAGAATAGCTACTGTTCTAAATAAACAAAAATGGGAGCCAAAACAAACCTCTCCTAAAAGAAAAAAGGAAAGAAAAAGGGAAGGAAGGGAGAGGGAAGGACAGAAGAAAGGAAGGAGGAAGAGAGGAGTCTTACTTTTTTTGGTGCTGGAACAAAATACCCAACACCTAAAGGAGAAAGGTTTATTTGGCTCAGCTCACAGAGGTTTCAGCCCACAGCATCAGAGGCACCCACCAACTACGGTAGGGTGGCACTGGAGAGGACAAACAGCTCATGGTGGCAGCAGCAAGCACCAAGCTACAAATGACAAGTGATGACCCTCCTCCTGTCCCCTACATTTTATCCTAGCTACCCATCCTTGGGCAGGTGGCACTCAGCCCTTAATTCCAGCATTGTATCATTTTTTTTTTTTTTTTTTTGCTTTTTTTTTTTTGATAGTATTATAAATGGGGTTGCTTATTTATTGCGGAACTAGGGATTGAACTCAGACCCTTGCACTTGCCAGGGAAGTACTTGTTCCACTGAGCCATCTCCCTGGCCCCTTTTTTAATTTTTTTTTCCAGCATTGTATCCTTGATCCCAGCATCACACTCCCTAATCCAGCCACTTCTGAAAAGTCCCACCCATGAGTAAATGCAGCTGTGGGGGTGCATCTAGTCACAAGCCGTAACAGAAGGAAAAAGAAAGGAAATGAGCGAATGTTGTCTAGGACACGGAGCAATCTGAGCCCATGTGCACTGTGAGTTGACCCGTAAAATGGTACAACCATTATGGAAAGACAGAATGGAAATTCCACTTCTGTATATGTATCCAAAAGAAATGAAAGCAGGGTCTCAAGATACTTAAGCACACATTTTCACAGCAGTATTATACACAACAGCCATAAGAGGAAACACCCCAGGTGTTCTTGGGTGGATAAAGGAATAAGTAAATATGCTACATACATACAGCAGACTGCTACTCAGCCTGACATGTGCTACCGTGCGGGTGAATACTATGGGCACTGTGTGCTACAAAAACAAAACAGGTTCAGACACTCAAATATAAATTGTACACCCCTAATCCAAAAATTCAAAACTTGTAAGAAAATTTGGACTTTTGAGCATTTCGTATTTTAGATTTTGGATTAAAGATGCTCAGCCAGGACATGTGAGATAGCTCAGCTGTCTAAGCACCTGCTTAGGCAAGCACAGGGACCAGGATTCGACCCCTTGCACCACATACTGCTCCAGCCCCACCTCCCAAGGAGTGAGCCTCAGCATGGCGGCACACACTTACAAGCCGAGCACTAGAGAGGGTGAAGACAGGAGGATCACTGAATCCAAGCTGCACAGTGAGACTCTGTACCAAATACATTTAAAAAAAAGATTCTTAGCCAGTAAAGTGTAAGTAAATATTCCAAAGTCTAAGACACACTGAAACCTAAAACACAACTAGTCCCAAGAATTTTTTTTTAATTTTTTTTATTTATTTGAGAGAGAGAGAGAGAGAGAGAGAGACAGAGAGAGAGTGGTGTGTATGTGTGGCCAGCTCAGCCCACCAGGGGGCGGGGCTGGGTGGCATGTGGTGCTGGGGGATTGAACCGCGGTCCCTGATGCTTTGCTAAGCTTGTTCTAAGTAGGTGCTTTAGACCACCGAACCATCTCTCCAGCCCCTAGTCCCAAGAATTTTGGATAGGTAATATTCAAAGTATCTAAGTACTGCAGGATTCCACTTAGATGATGTGCCTAGGATAGTCAAATTATGCAAATTACAGTGACGGTCTCCAGGGCGTTGGCCGTGGGAAAATAAAGCGCTACACCTTAATGGGAACAGTGCTTGCGTCTGCAATGGGAAAGTTCTGGCGACTGGCTGCATGACAGTATGAATGCATCTGATATAACAACTGAAAAACAAGCTTACATAGGGCTGTTGAGATAGCTCAGGGGACTAGCTTAGGCACAGGGCCTGGGTTTGATCTCGGGCACCACATGCCACACCAGCCCTGCCCTCAGGCCACTGAGTTTGGGTGTGGTACACAAGCCTGTAATCCCAGTGCTGGGAAGGCTGAAAACAGGAGGATCATTACAAATACAAGCTGTGTTGTGAGACCCTGTACCAGCCACATTTAAAAAAAAAAAAATTTAGATGATAAATTCCACATTACATGTATTTTGGTTTTTCTCCTCATTTGGTTTTTGTTCAGTGTATTTTACTGCAATTATAAAAAGAAAAAAACTTTGAGACAATTAGTTATCAGGTACCAATTGTATTCTTTTTTGGTTCAGGGTCTCACCACACAATTTAGACTCATAGTGATCCTCCTGTCTCAGCCTCCCTAGCACTGGGATTACAGGGGTGTGCCACCACACCTGGTTTCGGTGGCCAGCAGGGCAGCATAACATGTGGTACCAGGGATCGAACCCAGGTCCTTGCACTTGCCAGGCAGGAGCTTAGATGGCCATGCTATCTCCCCAGCCCCTACCCCCCGAAAAATCATATTCTTAATGACAATGGGGTACCTGCAATAATCCAAACTGCATGATGGTCATGAGCCTGGACAAAACGTTACTTTAGCTTCTTCAACACAAATACCAGATGACTGTCTCTTCAACTGGTTTAAAGAAATGTGTCTGGTTGCCAAGTTGACAAGAGGTAACTACAATCACTGATACACTGTGTCAACTTGAGAAGTTTAGAAGTTTAAACAATTCAACAGGAAACAGGGTCCTCACTTTGTAAACATTCTCAGCCTGTGCAAAAGCCTCCTCAGAGAGATGTGAGTGCAACACCTGCAGGGGTGGTAGCCTGTTACGGTGTAAGGCAGGGACAGAGCCCGCTCTCCCCTCTTGCTCTTGCTGCTTTTGCTATCTTCTGCCACCCTCAAGCATGGCCCCCGTGCCACACCAGCCTGCCTTGGAGCCAGCTGATGTGGACTGAAACCTCCACAGGCTGTGAGCTAAATAAACCTTTTCCTATTTCACTTTGGGCATCAGATATTCTGTCTCAGCAATGTGAGAAAAGTAACCAAGACAAAAAGAGGCCAAGACCGTATGATCTCTAGAGTCCCACCCATCTCTCAAAGTCTTGTCAGGTTCTACGTTCTCTAAGTACCATGAAGAGAGCAGGATAAACCGGCATTACCTCTGCCTTTTCTCAGCAATCCTCAGGATATCACAGGTTCTGGTGAACTTCTCTGACAGCTCACGGGCCAGTCCGCATTCCTGTAGCAAGGACCAGGCCCGATCTGGGCCCACGGACTTAGCCAACAAGAGAGCGACATTCTCCATGCTGACTGGGGAAGGCCCATCGCTGAGGCTCCCATTCAGCGATTCCTGGGGTGCTGGCCCTGTGCTCCTGCTCTGCACGAGATGTAGGAGAAGCTTCCATTCCTCCACAGTCTCCGGGATCCACCCTACACAGAGACACAGACATTACACTCACTCTCATCACTCTTTTTTTTTTTTTTTTTTTGGATAGTGGTAGTATGGAGATTGAACCAAGGGCGCTATACCATGGAGCTACATTTTCAATTTTAGAGTTTCTTCTTTTTTATTTTAAGATAGGGTCTCACTAAGTTGTTCAGGCTGGCCCTGAACTTTCAATCCTACCTGAGCCTCCTGAGTAGCTAAGAAGCCGGCATGTGCATCATGACCACTCTTAGCACACTGCCTGAACTCAGAAGGTGGTCGAAGCTGTGAGAACATTTAAACCCAAAACCTAAAGGCATCTTAAAAACAACTGCACTGCCTTAGTACAAAGTTTTCTGAACATCCAATAGTGTTCATAATATACAGAAATCATAAAATTAACCTCAAAATTCTTTCACTCACCAAGTTAGAACCCGTAGCATACTCTACAATAAGCACTGGATTTGCTTGGATGAACAAAACAAATAATCCTTACACTCTTTACAGTCTGGTAAAAATGACAATTTAAGTATCTAATTAAATATATACTTCTAAAGTACAATAGAACTATACTATAAGGAATAAGAGGGGGAGCCGAGGAGATGGCTCAGTAGGATAAGCGCTTGACTGGCAA